TTCTCGGGGATAGTCTTCGCCTTATTGCCTCCGCTATAGTTACGACTCGATGTATTGAGTCGTTGAAGGTCGAATGGGCGAAAGTGTTTCTTTTGTACACTGTGTTTAATGTTGATAATGAGATTACTAAAATACGGCACTCTTTAAATTTACAAACAACTGCTAATGGACATTTAGAATGCCTAATTTAGCAGCAGCATACACTCTTTTCAAAACATAAACCTATAGTGAAATGGATGGATAAGTCCTGTATCATTCAGGTGCCAACCAGAACCGACCAGTGATTTCCTGTCAAAACACATATTTCCTACAAGGGCAAGCATTAATAGAGGTCTAAAAAGGTCAACCACTTCCATTAAAGATTCATTCAAATAGTTCCCAAAAGGAAATGGAAACATTACCATGCGAATTGATTTTATTCACAACAATGCAGTGTACGGAGGTTAATTTATTATTCATTTCAATTTATATTGATTAGGTAATGTAATTAGTTTGTTATGGTATTTGGTACTTGAATTGTTTTGAAGTCCAAATTTTGGAGTGTTTGATTTGAAGTCGTTTGGGTCTTTATTCAGTGCTTGTAAAGCAATTTAATGGCAGAATATCAAGCCTGATATCTTCTAGAATATCCCATCAATGTAGTCGTAGATAGAGCACACTTTTTCACCACATCATATACCATTCTAGAGAAGCGATCCACTGATTCACAAGCAAAGAAGCATTCCTGGTCCTGGATTGAGTGCTATTAGGTAATTTAAAATTAATAACTGAAAACCCCATTAATGCTTTATTCGAAGGTTTAGGTTTAGCAACGTTTGTCAACAATACTTTTTGAATCCGTAGGTCGTAAAATTTTTCTTCTCGTGTGTTCGTAAAATTTTTGAAATATGGTCGTAGGCCAAGTGTATAATTCAAAGAATTAATAAAAAAAAACTAACGCAAAGCGTTGCACACTACCTAAATGAACCGACAAATAAAAAGAACCTCTTTTTGTACAAAACAAATCAAATTACAAAAGACAATTACTTTTCAATAAAATTCAAAACAAATAGCAAAAAACCGTCACCAAAAATTTACAGTCTATCGAAACGCAATTAAAATTTTGAATTAATCAATCGATTTGGCAGTTAATAGGCGCTTTAGCGGGCGGAAGTGAGACAATAGGCGGACTGTAGTGTGATTATACAGTCCAATGAATCAATATTTTAATATTCAAATCGATTGAACCGATTCAGCAACTATCCGGCTAATGACACCACGTATAATTAATAATGATAACGAACTGAGATAATGTATGTTAATCTATGGTAATGTTTTGTTATTGTTTTCATTCTTTTTGTGGATTGGTGCGATCAAGTGCATCGATGTTTTTGATTAAATATTGTTCTGTGGTCGTGAGGGATTGCCATGTGAACTTGGCTTATCTAAGATTTATTATATTTTACCATGACCCATGTAGGCATGGTCCTAATTAATGTAAATACTTTAATAGATTGCATTTCTAAAAAACTTAAGCTTACATTCATATCTGTTCTCTTTGTACTAGACACCTTGGAGGGTGCCTCCTCGCTTGGACAAAAGTCTCTTTCTAATATAGTTTTAACATGGCTAAGGTCATTGATATCCACCTATATTAGCCTAGTGGTCCAATACGATTTGATTTCCGAAATTGGCATCACAATTGTTTTCCAATCTTTTATGAGAACCTCGCTATCTATTACAAAGACTAATAACACAACTACCAAATACTACACACACGTATGATAATGTTACATAGACAGACCAGTCATATCAGTGTCATCTACACAACCAATCTTACCGTTAAACTTCCAAAACCACTTCGGTGGTCTCACCCAGATGACTACAACTTTAACTCCATAACCGACATGTAACGAGCAATTCCAATAATAACCGAAACATGGTCAAAGACTACTTCCTATGAGAAAACCGTCGCAGTTATTTTAACCTACAATAAGTGTGTCAGCCATAACTGACGATTTAACCACGGTCATAGAGCCGTTAAAATAATGGTTGAATTTCACACCGATTGATGACTAGGAAACGGATGTTGCATGCTCATATGCTGTGTAGATTACTCTATTTAGACCAAAATAACTGCTGCCGTTGATATATCTGGAGTTCTAAACTAGAAACCCCTAAGCTGCTTGCTAAGCATGAAGGTATGATAAACAATGTGTAAAGAATGCCCATAGTCTAACAGTGGACTGTGACTGGCTATCGATGATGATCTGATGGAAGTAAAAATAATTGGCGGCACAACTCCTCACCATACATAAAAAAAGAATCATCCGAACATATAACCTCCTCCGTTTTTTTTGAAGCTGGTAAAAATAAAAATTTGTGTATTTTTTATATTATCCCACAATAGGATTTTCTCCTGTGTCGTGAGTATGTGACACCCAGACCCGGAACAACAATTTATGGATCACACAAAGACTTGTTCCGAGAGGGAATCGAAGCGTTTTCTTTTACTTCTTATGCGTCTTCTTCTATATCAATGTCAGTCAAAATTTGATTAATTGCCTTTTAAATGTATATATGAAGGTTTATAACATTTAGAGAGTTCAATCGTGATATTTTTAGTTTTTTATGAAGGCTTTATTGATACATATCTGATAAATTTTAAAATGAACGTAAAACAAAAGTTATTGGTCATAATATATGGGGTATTTTGATTACCTAAGCCGATGTGGGAAAAACAGATAAACAACGATAATCAGTTAGATACGTGTGTATACGTGGGTTTTGGGTTTGCAGAACCTCCCACTATACTGGAAATACCTTAGTTGTTATGATAATAGGGAAAAAACGGTTTTTGCTCTTTATTAGCGACACCCACATTAATATAACGCGTAAATATTCTAATTAAATAAGTCAATAGTGAGAGAACATTGTAGGATCTGGAGGCGAAGGTGCTCGTGCGCATATTTTGTTTGCGCCCGGAGCCACGTCACCGGGGCGAAACTCCACTGCCGCGCCGGTTACCGGGGCTCCGGCTCGAAGTGTAGAAGTAGGAACAGGGTGGTTTTTAGTCAGTAAGAGTCTGACACTCCCTCCCGCCTCACCCAGGCAGGAGAAGTCATTCGATGATTTTCCCCCCTTAAAAAGTAACACCCACTTTTCACTGTTTATGTTATGAGTCCCATGTAATAGGGGGTGAGCCTGTTGCCATATCCCGGGCACAATTCCAGACTGAGATTTTTTTAAATAACTTCAGTAATACTTTACCCGACCCGGAAATCAAAGCCGAAACCCCTTGCCCGGCAGTCGCACTTGCGAACTCTCGGTCAACGAGGCGCAGTCATTATTTACTACATGATACATTATTTACTGCATTTACCGACTCATCACTTAGCAACTCTAAGATTTTAAGTTATGATTCACATAACTACATATAAGGCGAGTTCCTTACCCCTATTATAGCAGTTTGTATATGGAGTGCCATAATTAGTTAGTATCACCGACCATATTAGGGGATGCCGATGTTGTTAAATTTTGTTCATTAGTAACACCTACTTCGTTTTATGATTTTTGCCGAAATTTTAGGTGACTAAACGTACCACATGTAACGATATAACTGATCAACACTTTGACTATTTATTTTGAAACCTACAAATCGATTAACTTGTGTTAATAATATCACGTATTTGACCGTCAGTCATTACACTAAGGTCGAATTTTTCAATAATCAGTATTAACAGTATTAAGCATTAGCTTAATTGTAGAATAAAATTGACATTTGACAGTTTTTAGTAAGGAAGAATTGTCAAATATAGAAAGTTATTCGTTAGTTAAAAATTTATCTGAGCATTGAAAAATTGGCTCTAAGAAACATAGATTGTACTAATTTTCACAAAATTTAACAGCAATTTATTTTTTTCTGCTCTGGTCTATTCAAACTAACTAAAGGGTTACCGGGGCTCCGGCTCGACGTGCAGGAGAAGGAACGAGGTGGTTTTTAGTCAGTAAGAGTCTGACACTCCCTTCCGCCTCACCCAGGCGGGAGCAGTCATTCGATGATTTTCCCCCATTAAAAAAAAAGGTTGCGGTTGTGGGTGACGTCCAGCTTACCGTCAGTTGATCTATTTGCTTTTTTTCATCCTATCCCGTAAAGTGTATTATAACTTTCGTGAGACATACTAGATAAATTATTATGTTTTCGGTTTACTCACGTAATTATTTGACGAGGGACGAGTTCCTCATCAAATAATTGTCTGGATCTTGTTAATGGAATAGTCGTTAACGATCGTTAATGAGAGCTGCAATAGGTGTGAACTGCATGCCACTTCTAGTTACTGCGTAATCGTTGATACCAAAGGAATTGTGTTTAACGCTTTGCTGCTATTTAACTTAATATAGGCTCTAAAGAACTTGAGAAGATTGGCAAGACCCTATGTACTTTGAGTGTCGCCTTTACACTTCAGGTGCATTAATGACAACACCCATAATAGATGGATCTAAGGCCTAATAACATAGTATAATCGTGGCATATTATTTTGTAATGGGATTTTGCTGTAACCTAACATTAATTGCTAGTGTGGCATTAAGTGTATTGACCAGTAGAAAAGCTAATATGTAATCATCGGTTAGTCAACCAAACACGCTTCAGGGTGTTTTCTTCATCAATATCCATTACGTTCTATAACAGCCTGCTGCTTAATATAAAGCCTCATTATATAAGATAGTTTGCCGTAATCTTTAAAAGGTTGAAGTTTAAATCAAAGAAGCATTTCTTTCAATTAAAACATAATTTGGTACTTTTGAAACGTCAACAAATACAAAATAAATAATAGTCTGTCAGTCAGTCCGTCAGTGAAGCTAGGTGCTATTAAATGTTACTTAGGCAGTTCTTACGGCATTACCGAGAAGAACAAGGACGGCGACAAATGTATTTTAATCAGTTATCCAGGGAGCCATCCATGGCCAGATATACCACACGATATAAAAATATATAACTAAATCCCCTTTCTTGTTTCCAGCAGGTGCACCCAGCGGCCCACCAGTGGTTCGGTGTCAGCTTCGCAAACACAAGCCTAATCGCAAGCCACGGACGCCGTTCACCACACAACAGCTCCTGGCGCTGGAAAAGAAGTTCAGAGACAAGCAGTATCTGAGCATCGCCGAGAGAGCCGAGTTCTCTTCCTCACTTAGATTGACTGAAACACAGGTGAGGAAAGAATGGTGAATTAGAATAGGTTTTTGAGGATTTTTCCTTTAGTTGTGTGTTGTGTAATAGGAATCTAAATACATACTTAAAATCTAAATCGAATACTTAGACACCTTATCTACTGGTGTCTGCAAAATCAGCTGTTATGGTACTATGCATGCACAAGCAAATAAATGCAATTGAATATCTACTTACTTAGTATTTTCTCATTCTATTAGATGAGGTGATTTGCTCACTCACTTACTGTGTTTACTCACTTCGATTGTGTTCGATATTTAATAAAAAGTAGCTATCAATATTAACCAAACACATTAATTCCAGGTAAAAATATGGTTCCAAAATCGACGAGCAAAAGCGAAACGATTGCAAGAAGCCGAGATAGAAAAACTAAGACTATCCGCGCGGCCCCTCCTACCGCCATCTTTCGCGCTTTTTGGCGGGGGAGGGGCGCCTCCACTATTCGCAGCGATGGCAGCTGCCTCCAGACCTCAGTTGAGCTTCCTAGGAGGTCCGCCAAGCCACCAACACGCGATAAACATGAATATACTAAATTCTCTCCAACCACATTGACGAATGGATCACGCGGCAACGCGTGAAGCAGACGATCAGCCGCCATCTTGAAACAGTGCGTTCGAAATTTAAATTGAAAGGGTCCCTATTCTCTTATAAGTGCGTTTTGTTTATTGTTGCGAATGTTGAATTGGCCATTGTAATGGAAACGCTTTCGTCTCACTGTTGTTTGAGCTCCACACGTTGTGTCAAGGTTTTGTATTCAGAGTTTGATGCTGTTGGTAGAATTATTTATCAAAGAATTTATGCGGTACGTTATTTTCACGAAAATAGGGCAGACAAAATAAAGTTTTGTCGTCTATAATAAGTGTTGAGAATAGGGACCATTAGTGTTCGAGAATTAAAAGTTAAAAAAGTGAATCAAGGACAACAAGAAATGTGTTCCAATTTCAAAATAAACTTTTCGTTTTGTGCGCTCCTAAATGTAAGGGTATGGACACACCAATGGAATAAATAATTTGCGAAGTTTTAGATCTTAAGCCACATTTTAATGTAACACCTCTGTATTTATAAAAAAATCCATTAAAATCTGTGAGTGTAACTTTTGTAGACAAACTAATGGCTACTGATGTTTACACGAAATGAAAAATCTCTCTATAAGTGCAATTTCTCAAAATAAAATGGCAAATAATTTATAATCCGGATAGAAAATTGTAAATAGTTTTACTTACATTTTTAACTTAGATTACAATTTAATAATAACTGAGTAATTTACGAAATGTTTTTTTTTAATGTCTGAATAGCAGTACCTATAATGATCTGCTTATTGTTTTTATGTTAATATTGTAATATCTTAGTCTGATTAAGCAATTCTTTTGTCACCATTACAAACTTCCAGCTTCAAAAAATATATAATTCTATAAAATCACAATACTTTACGCTACGCTACTTTACCCTATCTATATTTTATTACTAAATACGATTTTCCACCTGTTTACATTTCCACTTTTCAGCTAAATAAACTAACCATCATTTATCAACATTTTGTTTGTCAGATGGAATATTTTTAGTATCATATAAAATTATCATTTTATTTCGAATTCATGTAATAAAATTATTGTCAATTATTACCTATTTCTTCTCAGATCACTAGATCAAACAATACAGAAATGATTTGACATTATTTCTTCACTCAGCAGCTTCAAACCGAACGCAATGAGTATATTTAATTCCTTGAAATGAGTTAGTATCTATGTCATTTAAATACTATCTTACCAAATATACTTCAATTTCTTTCCAAAATTCCGCCGCAAATGAACTTGTAATGTAATTATTATTTAACAAGTTAGCATTGTTAAACAAGTAAAAAACAAGGCATATACTGCCAATAATAGGTCGAAATAACTCCATCGATTTGCTTCATTTATTCACAATAATCCCAGTAACTATAGTAGCGATATAACACAACAATAAATTAAATATTATTACCTATAATTTTCCTATTAAGTACCTAACGGCACTAAGCTGTAAGGGTTATGTACTTAACATTCAAGTATATTATACACTGATGTGCAAATAGTAATGTAAATAATATTTAAATAAATTATTGTATACGTAAGATCAAGTACATATTATGTATTAGGTACTTAAGTATATTTCTAAAGCGTTAGATTTTTTAAAACGAATCACCGATCATAGATATTGTGGATACAACCTTTTAGAGCATTTAAATTGGAAACAAATATATAACTGGATACTCTGTTTGCTAAGAAAAAAAAATTAAAAAGTGACAGTGACAGTTGCAATGTTTGACGTAATATTTGGCGCGAAACAATTTATCTTCTTCGTATATTTTCCGATATAAATGCTCTTTTTTACTACCTACTGTTAAGCCATAGTTATATCAAAATAAGTACTTGAAAAAAGTTAATTTTATCGCTTTTGTGTCATATTAATTAAATATCAAGCTTATTTATTACTTTTGTACTTACTTAAAATGGTTTGTTATGAGCAGCGTTCAATGTAAAATAAAATGGACTAACCATTTTAATATTGCATAATTGTACATTTATCATGAATTTACAAATTCAAAACGTTGTTCGTAACAAAACAAAGTGATTTGAATTCTGTACAAAATATTGTAAAATCAAATAGTTTATCAGGAATAATTTGAATCTACTTTATAATCGCCTTTAATAGAATACCTACATATACATAGGAATGGACTATGGAACATTTGTAAATTATTGATTAAATTATAAATTCGTTATTAGTACAACAACGAAGTTTTATTAAAACAGTATTCAATTCAAAATAAGTCTTACTGCCCATTACATTTACTGTTTAATTTCCTTTGTTGAATAATATTATTCTGCTCTTATTAATGGCTACTGCAATCCCGAAGATCAGGCCAATAAAAATTGATCTTATCATTATTTTATTCATCAACTTTCATATCAAAGGCCCATAATTGTACTCAAAGTTATAACTGCAATGGCTCTGTAAATATCGTTGAAAATTACCAACGTCCTGTCAGTAACCATAACTCTAAGAAGCCGTTACGAAAATAATAATGTGTCCTCACCTTTATCGACGATCGGCGACCATAAACAAAACTTTTTTTATAAAAGCACCACAGATAAAATACTCGTCAAATCTATCACAATTTACCATAAACATGTCGCGTTTCTATTCAGTCGATTGAAAGTCTATGAAGACATCGGCCATAAAGTTTATCATCCTTATAAGTCTTGTTATGGGGGAGAGACGCCATAACTTCCTGTCCCGCCCGCTAATTGGTGTCTCTGGTTAAAAACTGGCCAGCCATAATGAATGATAATACTTTTAAATGCACAGATTCGTATGCCGCGTCGCTTTCTGCGCCCGGCTGTGCCCATTAATTTACTCATTTGTGAACTAGTTGTGGCCTCCTGTCTTTTAGCGTGGCTCTATGGTGAATACGTGAGCAAGACTTTTAATTATTTTTTTTTAAATAACGGTCTCTAGAATTATTTTCTTTAGTGGTGTCTTACATTAAATAAGTTTCTTATTATTTGCTTGTTGTAGGTACTCCCGATTATGGGATTCCAAATATAAGATTAAGATTTTTATTGTGTAACTAGTTAGGTACTTACACAAACATTTTCTAACTTAGGAATCGAACCAACCAATACCTATATAATTTTATTTATTTATTTACATTAAAATAGTATAACCAATTCATTTAACTAAGGCGTTATACATTCCAAATTATTATAAAGAAACAGAGAAAAGTTTCTTAAATGACAATTTGTAATAGGTATAATAACACGTCACCGAATGTGGAATTAAATATATTTATTTATTTATTTATTTATTTATTTATGGATTGGAAAACCAACAGCTACACATAGCAAACAAACAGATAACATAATAACACCAGAAAGCCAATTACAGGTTTTCACGAATAGACTTCACATTATTCAATAAAAAAAAACACTCACAGTCCAAACAAATACATCGTATACGGAAAAATAAATAAATAAAAAAAAAAACAACAAGAGCCTATATATACCAACAATAAAAAACATAAAAAAATAAACACACACCAACCATACTACCAACAATAACAAATTAATATTAAACTGTCAAACACCAAGCGGTCACCGGTGACCGCGACCTATTGTTCTTTAATTGTGTCTATAAAACCGGTACTCGACGAGTTAAACTGTCAAACACCAAGCGGTCACCGGTGACCGCGACCTATTGTTCTTTAATTGTGTCTATAAAACCGGTACTCGACGAGTTAAACCAAGTTACCCACTTAATTTTATATCAAATTAAAAAACTGTAGGGTGAGCATCCTTCGCACCGTAGAAGTCCGCGTTACAAACGGATCTATTGGATACTCCTTACACAGGTTGTTTAAGTCTCTGCTTGCACGCATAATAAAGGAATTCTGCCTATACCTCGTTGAGGAATTCCGAATTATATTCCGAATTATATAGGACTATTTTGAACTGCTCCACTTAGTTAGAACTAAGTAGTCGCCCAAACCATTACCTAATATGAACCCCATGAAATAACAACCTCATAATATTTCTTTACTCAACACGCAACTGAACTTAAGTACCTATTTATAAAAAGCTTCAAAAATAGACACCTGCAGATCAACGTACAATAAGGCAAATTTCTTCAATAAATTAGACACTCTATCTGCTTTTATTAATAAGGTTGAAAATCTATTACATATGGGTATAACTTTATATGCTGCCATACATATCAAGTTGAGTAAATATTTATTAATGTTCCTAGCATTGTTATGTGTAATTATAGCGATACTAAGAACTGGATAATTAATGTGACAGCCATTTTGTGGATAATTAAGAAAGTAGCAGTAATAAACAGTTTGTAAATTCTTTCCTAGATACATGTATTGGCGTCTCTAATTAATGGCGTAGAATTTATCTTCAATTTTAATAGTCTAGGCTTTTAAATTTTACACATGCTCCCAATATTTTCGTCGTCATACTTTTTCTAAAGAATAAATAAATGTCGAAAGACTGCACGGTCGGCGCGGTGACTGGGCTACCGGCTGCTTGCGTGCAATGGTTTGGGTGACATGTGCATGTTAAATTACATCTTTGTGACACAGGAGAAATACCTAGTGTAGGGTAACATCACGCCTTTTATCCCCGATGGGGTAGGCAGAAGTGTGCATTATGCCACTGTACAATGTAACACCCACTTTTCACTATTTATGTTATCGAGTCCCATGTAATAGGAGGTGAGCCTATTGCCATATACCGGGCATAATTCCAGACTCCGTGCTACTGCTGAGATTTTTTTTAAAACCCAGTAATAATTGGCCCGACCCGCGAATCGAACCCGAGACCCCTTGCCCGAGAGTTGCACTTGCGACCACTCGGCCAACGAGGCAGTGTAGGGTAACATTTTTTTTAAGTGGTGTACGTAGCATATCTCCGAAATCTAATAGCCTAAAGATAGTTATCCATTATCATCAACTGCTGAACAAATTAATTTTAATGAGGGATCCCCCATGTATAGCAGTCGGATAAGCTAAAGAAAGAGACGATCTAAAGAAAGGTATGATTAATATTTTCATCTAGATCGACGCGAGCAACTACAACATACCTATATTTTCTTAAGGGGGCAATATCTTTCAATTTCTTCTCCGGCGTTGGGTTAGGCAAGAGGGAGTTGGGAGGGTCAGACTCTTACACTCCTCTTACTGACTAAAAACCACCCCGTTCCTACTCCTGCTTTTCAAGCCGGTGCTCCGGCAACCCGTTAGGCCTTCCGCAGCTTCGTATCGGGCATCAGCCCTACTGAGCCCCATTTGTAGTGGTCTGATGGCTCTTTGAGGCGCGCGCTGAACGCGACCTTATAGTCACCCTATGGACCTAATGAATTAAAAGGTAAGAACAGATACTTAATCAAAGTCACTCCTATAAACACACAGTTGATGCTGAAAAGACTATCTCATTGAGAATTGATCGAACACGAGATCAAAGTGATCCCTAATTACATTTCATACTGCATAACAGTTGCACGCGTCAATTTGTCATAATTAATGGCAGCGGAAGCTCCGCGTACAGCCTACAACAAAACTTAAACACAAGTAATTGGCCCAAAACATGAATTAAACATAATTTACTTTTTTAACTCGTCGAG